ATAAACACTGGTTAATTAATTACTAAATTAGCACATTTAGAAGTGTGTAACTGTAACAAATTTGTGAAAATTTAATTGATTTGTCAGATCAAAGTACCTAAACTATTGCGTGCTATTTCAAATTCATATGGAATTGCTGAGTATTCTGTGTAAAGTGATTTCTAGTGAAAAGAGTTAACATTCACAAATAGTCACTTCAGTGAAAAATATGTATAGTTGCTATATTTCAACTGTCAGTGGCTAGCATTGTACTTCAGTTATTTAGCAAAACTGACGCCAGTGGTGTTCAGCTATGCATTTTTAGAGAGAGAACAAAACACTTGTTGGATTTAAATATATGATTAATGAAGCTAGGTCGAAAACTAACTCTTCGATATTTAATATTTTTGTCATTGTTTTGTCTGAATATTCTTTTAAAGGGCATGCAGAAGACTTAAAATAGTGAAATAGTGTAGCTCCAGTACATCTTGTTGTCGTGTTATTTTCAGTCTGTATAGTGTTTGAAAATAAAATGTTCGACATGTATATTACATTCATTGGTCCTAATATTTCTGCAGGATTTCAATGATAGGAAGTTTTGACTTTGTGATATGTTTTTTTTTGCGATGGAAACAAACAAAATACAAGGGCTATCAAATAAAAAAACTAGATGTTGGACGTGAATTATTTATTGTTTGCTGTGAGAAACATGTTTATGCTCAAATGAAATGCATTTATTCCAGGTGTGTGATTACAGACTTGTATGTGATGTTTTGATTGTGACGCGGTTGCTTACCAGGAAGCCTTAAAAACTTCCTTCTCTAGTATCATTATATACTAAAGGGAAGCAGGTAAAATTTGATTTAGGGCCAATTTTGGGCTATTTTAGTCAAACCTCTGACAAGAACTTAGAACACAAAAGTACGGTATTGAGGTCATCTCTACGCATCAAACCTTACACGTTATAAAAAAATGGTGAGTAATTATATTTGGAGTAAAGCAAGCTTTATTGCATTATGTCGTGAATGAAAGTTTCAATTTTCAGTTTATGACATAAAAGTGAATAGTACATAATTTACTTATAACCATGTTTAAAGAAATCGACAGTACTAATGTGTACATGTTAATTAAATTTAGGATTTAGTTGTAAGTGTAGTCAATTGTTTAATTAATTGATTCTGACCATAGACCATATCTTCCAATCATAATATTACCGAAATATACATTATTTTCATTTGGTGTTAAAATATATTACGAATCGTTATTATACAAAAATGTCACTCTCTGTTTTCTGTTTACATCTAAAGTTTCGACTGCGGGATGCAATAACATTTTATCTGCTTATTCAAGTTTTATATGACTCGAGTAATTCTGCTTAATTAAATGCTACAGATATTGGACGAAACTTCTAATAATAAAGAAGATTATCTCAGAATTTTCTATTGTCGTTATTGTATATTTGAATATCAATTATTGCATTCTTTCTTTTCCATGATACTTTTTGAACACCCAAATCATGAAAACAACTTTTAGGACTACATACAGTACCCATAGTTCATGCGCGTCTGATAGTGTACTCGCTATTTTCTCAAATTATAACGACAAAGTGCTAATAAATAATATCACAAAAACTATCTAAAGAATGCAAGACAGCTTTCAGGTCCATACAATATAATGCGACATACGACATTATTCGACATTTACCAAAGTCATCAGAGTCCGTAATTCTTAAGATATGTTCAGTTAAACACGAATTCATTTGAGGATGTTAAGGATGTAAGTTCGTGCTAGTTATATCACATCGTTGACTGATTCTTACAGATAACAAATAATTAATGCGTTATGAATAACCGTCTAACACAGATTAAATTTACCTGCGCAGTTTATCTTCTTAAAATACAGATACAAAAGTAAAGTTCCGCTTTCGTCTTGTTTGCAAATTTGATTAATTTATATGTGCTAAACTTAAATTTGAAATTTATAACTACAGTAAATGTATTATATTAAACAAGAGCGTCATGATAGTCCAGAAGACGCTAACCTGAGATTATTTGCTAGAAATGGTAATACAATCTAAATGTCAAATAAGATAACTTGGTAACATTTGGGCCTGCCAACATAAAATTGACCCAGGGGCAGGCTATTCTACCCAATTTGAATGTGTTACTTTTTTATAAATATTTTTTATAAAGGTTTTAAGCTATTTTTTATAAAGCTTTTAATCTATATACGGTAGGTGTAGTTTCACTCACGAAAGCTTAAATGTGTGCCACTATACGCTTTTATATAACTAAGTGACAGTTAATGTCATGATTTACAAAACTTTTATTGTGGACCACAAATAGATGGTACATGCCAAATATCTAATGTATGTATTAGGCATTTCCGTTTCATACAGGAATACTTAACTATGTTTTCCTTTAAAGTTTATATAAGCAAATAATCTCTGTAACGGGGCCAATTTTAATCCTAGATGAAGTCAAATAACTGTAGCAAACTATAATTTGACTCTACATTCCAAATAACTAAGCTCTGTATATTTTTGTTACTGAGAACAGAATTGCTAAATAATCTGTTTATAAAGTCCTTTTATAGCTCATATAAACTATTAAGCAGACTGGAACAATTTATATTAAAGTTAGTTTGTACAGAACTACTCCAGAATAATTTCTGTGAAGTTTGATCAAAAGTCTTCCATGTGGTTGCAGACAAGAAATTATAATGACACATGGCCGATGACACCATGCTGATTCACCTGTTCACCTCTGAGCACTTTGTTCTCAGGTGAGCACGTACATGCAAATTCTGTCTTTATGGATAGAAAAATAGAAATTGATAAAGATATCACTGTATATTTTTAGCATGTCAAATACAATTAAATGATGGCTGCATATTTTTCTCACCCTGTGACATTTGGCGCCCAACGGGGGATCGTGACTGAATAAAGTTCAGAGTTTAATTCACATTGCTCTGTAATTCTGTGACATTCGAGGACGAATTTCAATATAGCAGGGGAGTATGTCACTGTTCAGACCTGTTCACTCTTTAGGGGAGAAAATGTGTAAGCGGCCGGATAGTTCAGTCGGCATAGCCGCGGAACGGTATTCCGAGGGCCCCGGGTTCGAGTCCTGGTCAGGCTGCACATTTTTCTCACCCTGTGACAAGTATCTTTTTTGGAATATGTAACAATATACAAACAAATAAACATAAGTTGAGAAAAACAAAATGATAGAATTTCTGAGGCATAACGGGCCTTTAATAAAAAGGTCGGAATCAAGTTTGTCAAAAAATTCCCGGTGTAAATAAACTAAAAATATTATCATTTATCAGTTTATATTGCTTTATCATCTACTTCACGGCAAGCGAATTATTAACTGGTTCTATTAGCAAGCGATGCTTTTATCTTTAGCATCATCATAATGTTGATTTAATAACATATCCCGTCTAGATAAGTTTGCAATTAGCTTCAAAAATTCACGCTAACTATAAACCTGTATACAGATATAAAAATGCGTAATGCAAAGGTACATTTATACTAGAGCATCTATCATGCGATTCTCTGCGCCTACATCATGTACATAATAAGAACATAATTATATATCTGACAGTAAAATTTTGTTCATGTCAAAAGACCTAGATTTTTCTTGGTATGTTTTGCTAATGAAAATGTTGAAGAAATAAGCATGGAATCAAGGTAGTGTTTTGATTTATTTACTTACTTACACAGCAAGTTTAGACGACTTTGTTTTATTTACTTACACAGCAAGTTTAGTCGACACTGTTTTATTTACTTACACAGCAAGTTTAGTCGACTTTGTTTTATTTACTTACACAGCAAGTTAAGTCGACTTTGTTTTATTTACTTACTTACACAGCAAGTTTAGACGACTTCGTTTTATTTACTTACATAGCAAGTTTAGTCGACTTTGTTTTATTTACTTACACAGCAAGTTTAGTCGACTTTGTTTTATTTACTTACACAGCAAATTGAATCAGTCGACCAATCTGGTAGCTGACTGGTTGTGTATTTGTACGTAAACTGTTATCATTATTTCAAAGTAAAAGTATTGTTTCTAATACCTTGAAAGATGTACAAGTAAAACAAATTATCCAGAGTACAGCTTGTTATTTAATTTGAGAGCTTTGTTCGCTGATTATTGCTTACGAATATATATATATATACGAATATACGAATATTTTATTTAGCAGTGAACACGTTAAAACAATGTTTATAGCCTATACAAATCCAAAGTACAGTGTGAACAAAGACAGGTTACAAGGTAGATAAAATTAGAAACATCTCGAAAGACTGTTAAAAGACTGGTTATGTCTTTAGTTTAGACAAATAATTAATGAAACTAGACGTTTATTGAGACAATGCCATTCTAAAATATACTAAGCTCAAATTTGACATTAGAAAAATAGTGATAATTGCTACACAGCCTTTTTGGCAATAGAAAATAAACATGTTTGACTTCAAACAAAGTAGATATGTTATGAATAAAATTCTACAAACTATATGTGGTTACAATATGAATATAAAGTGTCATTAAAAACTGGCATGTTTGTTTGTTTTTGTTTTGCTGTTTTTGTTTTCTTTTGTTTTTTTTTAAAGAAAGGACTACCTTATTTGTCCCGTAATAGAGAACGCAGCTTCCCATATATATTCATTCTTTTATACGAATTAGACATAACAGTGTTATAGATTTTAATAAATTTCTTTGATTAATATATTTTACCAAACTTTTTTAGGATAACAGGACAGCATATCTTTAAATTAGTATATCTTTAGATAACGTTATGTTTACAAACCATACTAGTAATTAAAAAAAAATGTATAAATTAATATTTTGTTCATTCGTTTGTTTGTTTGTTTGGATTTTTACGGAACGTCAACACATAACTGGCCATATCGTGCCGAATGCTATAATAGGCTAGCTTTTTTTGTTCGTATATTCTATTTTAATATTCATAATTTATTAAAGTCATGTGATAATAGCAACAGGGTCGGATCTTTTAACTTGCTTAAATGACTATGTGAGGAGACAACTTTGCTGCTTTATTTTTTTCTATTTCTCTACACGTTTATCAAATAACAGTTTTGCAAAGGATTTCTATAACTTCAGTTATGTAACGTAGATAAACAGATGGCGCACTTCAACGAGCAAATTAAATGAAGACAGCTCTGTCATTATTTTACAATTCTGCAGGCGGAATAAAGCATTTAATAACAGTGTATAAATTTAAAACACATTGGATTAAATACGGGCCAAATATCAGGTAATATTTTTTCAGGATCTTTTTTAAATGTTATCTTAAACTTTATTTATAATTATATAGTCTTTTACGGAAACGCATATGAACGAACTCCAAATAAATGTTTATAAATGCATAGTGTAACAAATATAAAAAATCAAACCTAGGAGGAACAAGTATTTGTTTTTCGTGCAAGGTGCCAGCACAATTACACGGGACCTTAATTTTTACAGGTTCATCCAAACAGATTGAGTTACAATTTGTACTCGCGACCCACTAGTACACCCGTTCTCATTTAGGTTTTTTTATGTTGAAGTAACCACATAATATAAAGTACTTTATTTTGATTCTTTTTTTCTCCGTTGTCTTTTTGAACAGTTATTACTTTTTTGTGTTGCTTCATCTTAAAATTGCGAAGGAATGTATTTTACATTTTATGTATATTTCAGTTGTTTTTAAACTTACAATGTTTTTCGTTGTCTTTTTGAATATCCAGTTTATACCTTATGCATTGTTTCATCTTCAGAATTAATGTTTTTTACGTATTGCAGGGAAGAATATTTCATTTTTTTTTAACTTAACAATTTAAATATTTTAAATCAATCTTTTTGTGATATTTCATTACAATTTCGATCGCATCATTCATTATGAATTGTAAACTTTGAAACCATATAATATTTTATTTAAAAAATATTAACATTTATTTGAAAAAAATGCGCTTTTTTAGATATACATATATCACAAAATTAAAATTCTTAATCTTTTTTTTTTTTTTACAGATTGTTAAACAGCTCTATCAAAACTGAAAAATATACATTTTATTATGCTATAAATTTCTAATTTATTACTTTATAAAGTACATCAAGATAGAACCACGAAGCGTAAAGATGAAAGAAAGTGGGATATGTTTTCGTTCTTTATTTTTTTTTTCCTAGTATTTTAGGGGTTAATGATCTAGGCCAGTATGACGTTTGGAATATTTCTACTTGTTGCTGCACTTATAGCTGGAGTAGAGAGCGTACCTACAATCAGCGCAATCAACAATCTGTCATCAATGCTTATGAAAGGCTACAATAAGAATACTCTACCAATCGCAGATTTTGACGGGAAATTTGAGCTAAATGTTGAAGTATTTCTAGTCGCTCTAGGTGACATTGACGAAATCGAGGAGAGACTATCTACTGTACTGATGTTTATCTATACCGTACGTAATTTTAGTACCGTCTTATGCCTACCAATTAAGATATATTATGTTAAAATTTGATAATACTGATAATTGCTATACAGTTTCTTATGGAATGTATAATCATCATTTTTTGTGTACCCACAGAGAAGAAAAGTTACGTATTAAGTTCTACACATAAGAGTTTTTTTACGACCAAATTAAAAGACAAATTGACCTGACCCGTATATTCTATTATTCAAATAAAATAAACAGGCAATCCACACAAACACGAACATTCAGTAATTAATTTTTTTTATTGCATACGTTTTTTGTTTTTGTTTTTTTTTATTATTATTATTATTCAAATAAGACATATCCAGTAAGAGTTTCCTAGATTTCAACCCAAAGATGTACATAACTTTAAAGAAGCTATATACAATTTCATTGCAACCTGTAAATAAAGCGTATTTTTGTCAAAATCTAGGTTTGTAGTTAAAGGTTGAAAGTGCAATAAAATGGGTTATTTAAGAAATATATATGATATAATGATGCGCATCCGAACGACAAACAGTGATTTTATCAAGCACTAAAATCACCGATTTGGATATATTATTTCGATTCTAACACGACATCAACAAATAAATGCAGCCGTATCTGATATTAAACTAAATTGTGCCTGATTTGTTTCCGTACTTATTGTCAGCGCGTCAGATTTTTAGTGGTAACGTCAGGTGTATAATGATTACGTCACATGTCTAAATATAGAACGTCAAACAGTGACTGTACACACTTTCGGTTCTTCTATATTCAATAGGGAAAAATGCGTGTCGTGTTAGAATTAAAAATAAAACGTTTAAAGTGTAATGTATCTTTGTAAATTGAATAAAGACTAAACGAAGTACGTGGGGCGTCCGTGACCGTGTGGTTAGGGTCGTTGACTTCAAACCATTTGACCCTCACTGCTGTTGGTTCGAAGTCCAACAGGGACTTTGGATTCTTTCATGTGAGGAAGTCATCCAGCTACCTTACGGAATGTTGGTGGTTCTACTGAGGTTCCCGTTTGTGCCTAAAATAATGCACGGAAAAGGCACCTGAGGTTTCTCTCTAACAGTAAAACTTGCAAGTTGCAATATAACCTATAAAAAGGAAGTACGTACATGTGAATAAAGTGGTAAATTATGAAAACACATTATTTTGAGTAAAGAAGAGAGAACAAAGAGGCAGCAAGGTGAATAAAGTAAACTGTGTTTTTTAAGAAATATCAATGAATAAATGTGAAGTAAATCAATGCTGTTTTCGCATTATTTGACTCATAATTAAGCAATATTGGTTACATTACAAGAGTATTCATGTACAATCTTATATTTTGTTTTCAAAAACAACAACAACAATAAACACAAAGAGAAATGTCTATCTTATTAGTAACAAGCGGCAATTTTAGATATTACTATTGATCTACAGTAACTGTTAATAAAGTAAAGCGAAATATTACCCGCTGTCGTTGATATGTGTATTACCGTACGATGCCTCTTTGTGTGAAATTGCTGCACAATATTGTTGGACTGGCGTTCCGTTGTTTATCTTTAGTCTCATATCTCGTGATAAACACTGTTATAGTTGGTAAAAACGTTGACTATGAAAAACATTTTTTAAAGTATAAACATTATTATATTTACAGTGGAATGACGTAAGTATGAGGTGGAACTCCAGTGATCACAGTGACATACAGAATTTAACAATGACCTGGTCTCAAGTCTGGAAACCTATCTTACTCGTGATTAATCCGCACCAGGAAGCTACCCAGAGTCATTCCGAAAGAGCCTCGGTAAAACAATATATTTATTATAATATTTTATACTAACAAGTGAAATATATTGATGAAATAAAATGCGTATTTTCATTTTGCACTACAGTCAAACATATTTTCGGTATTTTCACTAGTGTCTTGCCTACATTCAGCCAATACACAAAATTTTGAATTTGAAATGTCAAACAAGAAAAAGAACAGTTCATATAACGAATAGAAAATTCAAGATTTCTCTATAAAAACAGGATTTATTTTCATCTTGTGATATTTGATTTCATACCATTCGATGAAAATTAATCCCGTATTTATAGATAAAGCTTGAATATTTATGACTTATTTTATTTTTGATTTTATGACTGTACCAGTATAAAAAAAAACACAAAAAACATACACCCAGTCTATTCAAGCTTGCTTTAATAAATGAAAAATAATGCATTATCTATTGTATCATCAAGATTCTCTGATAATGTATTTCAAAGCAGAAAAAAGACAGAAGTGTTATAATAATATACATGTAACAAGCATGTTCATTAAAGGCCCATTATGCCACAGAAATGCTTTCTTTCAATTAAAATTTTTGTTTCAGTTAAAAAAACATATTTTATTCTTTTAAAAACCCTTAATTTTTTTTTCGCGAAAAAAACAACAACATATTTTATTCTTTTAAAATCCACTCATTTGCGACATAGATGAAGTCTCTTTAACACATTGCCCTGTTTGTAATGTACGAGTATATAATCATGTTTTATCACAGTAATTGAGTATTTTGTATGGAAGTCAAAATACTAGTTTGTTTACATTTTGCTATCTTTATGATAAATTACATCACAACTTTCTTCATTTGTTAAACATCTACTATGCTCTAAATCCATTACTTAATCATTAAAAAAACACAAGTTTGACATTTCTAAGGATTAAAAAATAGGGATTTCTGAGGCATAATGTGCCTTTAAAAGAAAATTTTTTAAACATTCGAGTATATGAGGTTATGGAAAACATTAATTTTATATAAAAAAAACTATACGGCTATATTAATGACGATGTAAGTTTATAATAAAATTCCTTCCTTGGTTTCAATAAATTTACAGGTACGTACAATGTATAGCGTAACGTGTGTTTTTT